AAGCCATGACAGATCCTGATCGATCCCCGGTCGTTAAGTAATTATACTCGACGCTCCACGATAGAAGGAAGTCAGCTGTATGCTGAGGGGCCGAAGAGCGGTTGCGTAGCCCCCCACTGTTTGCTTAGCGATGTAGACATGTGTCTCGGTGCAAAGGGTCCCTGTGAACCTTGGTGTCAAACTTCTTGACTTTGATAGCGTGTAACGCTACCTAGTCTTAGACTTGGATGCAATGTATGACCTTATCTCTGGTATGGCATGGTTAAAACACCATGTGTCATGGATCGAATGGAGGTCGAAGACCTTAGGCGCTATGCGCACGTCTTATGTTGGACCTTCGATGAGTCATGAACCTATCTCAGCTGGGAGGCAGAAGCGTTATTAGCATTGGTCTGGAGCAGAATTCCATGAAGTTGCTGAACATCTTGTTGCGATATTCACCACCACTGTCAGTCCTGATGCATCGAATCCGAGCCATCATTTGACCTTCCATAAGAGACTTGTTCTACTTGAAGCGAGGTACGACTTCATACTTGGCCATCAGTATGTACACTTGAACGTAGCGAGTCCAGTAATAAAAAACAAAAATGTATCCATTGCCACCTTGAGACTTCATAAGTCGCATCAAAAATCCGTGGACATCCTGCAATGAGGCCTGAGTTATCATACTGTTGGGGCTCGCAAAATTTTTGTAACAATCAATTTTCCACAAACACATCCCTCGCACGGCACCGATGTGTCCAGCTTGACGTCAAGATTGGAGTTACTACTTAAACAGTGGCCATTGCCATAATCCGGTCTTGATCTACATGGCCCAGTCGAGCATGCCACGCAGTGTCTTCAACATTGAATGCACTCGCCGAATATGCACCGGCGTAACTCTCATGGCGTAACGTAGCTAACTACAGCGCATGCAACTTGTTTACACCGACTCCACTCGTAATACCTTCTTTTCTGATATGAGCCATCACTTGCCAAGTTCAAAGTAAACCTAAGCTCCATTTGCCGCCAATACGGAACCGACTATCAAGGCAGGGTACTGCTGACCGTCCATTCTCCAAACGCACAGAGCCGACCCCTCTTACCAAGAGCCGATCACCACTAGTCAGCAACATATTCATCCTATCAATAATAGAGCGGAATGCTTGAAATCAATTCGATCAAAATCATATGCAAGCTCGCACCGCTGTCCAAGATTCACACCTTCTTAATTTTGCTCACCGCCAGATACCGAAATTACAAAGCCATCCGTCATTTTCTACTTCCTTGGGCACTGGTCACGCTCTTAACCAGTGTAGCTGCATTTAAACTACGTCCTGTAAAACCACAGAGTGAGTTACCACCTCGACGACAGCCTCGATGGTCATCTCTTCTATTATTGCTACGATGACCCGCAAAACCACCACAGTGGTCGCGTAATTTGACACGCGTCACCGAAACTTCTGGAGCGTTTCATACCCCCGTCAGAAAAGTTATCTGGCCTCATACAGAACCGTATTCCCGCGGTCCCTGATAGCCTTTACGATACCATCATACCCAGCCGATAGAATGCCAAGAAAATGACCAAGGGCCCGTCATCCTGTGCCCCGTCATCGAAATCAGCAAGACGCATGCAAATGTTATCAAGCTTTAGCAGGTGCTCAATGATATTGTCACCAGGGGCCATCACAAACTCAAGGAGTTATTGGCGAAGCAAGACAGGTTTTGGAGGCTTCGCTTGACGTGGAACTCTCGCAGAATCGTCCACACCTCCTCAGCTGACCACGCACTCGAACCATCGATTTGATGATAGACCTCAACATCCTGGCAATGATAGCCAGCGCCTTCAGGTCAGCACTCGGTAGTTATCAACGCTAAGTGTTCTCGAGCTTCGTCTCGAGATGAAGGAGCAACTCCTTCCGTGCCAGCGTCAATGCGGACAGCAAACTGCCACGGAAGGTGGTTGTCATTCTTGGGATGCCGTTGGGACTTTACATGAGCAAATTGGGCTCATAACCTGAAAAACAACTGAAGAGACACTGGTGAGACCGTCGCAAAAATGAAAGTGACTTTATCAGATTTACGAGATGTGTAAATCACCAACGGCTTTAGTAGCCATTCATCGCTAACTAGTGCCTTGCCACCATCATTCTAGAATATAATATAGCTTTTGCGAGATTCCCCTAGTTGCTGGTCGTCTCTAGCCTATAATAGACAACCGAGATACAGTCCAGCTGTCCAGCAGGCGGTTGTACCCACTCTTCCTAGAGATACATCCCTTATACTTCAGATAGCAATATCGACTAAGCTCATCCATTGCGAGGACCATAAAACGAGTTTGTGATGGTCTTGAAGGGAAGATATTTAAAAGACCAAGAATGGTAATAATTTTCATTCTTTCCTTTCAGGACGTTTATGCAACTTGTATAACAGCAAGAAGTATAAAGCGAGATTTTTAGCGCTGATGTTGCCTTGTTGATACTGAAAACCACGACGTGGCTCATGTTTTCGTCACGACAGTTTTTACAGATGGCGAAACATTGACTCTTCATCATAGCAGGCCTCTTTCAAAGAAGATAGGAGAAATTTTTTTTTAGTCCAGCACACAAATGCCATTTCGTGTTGTGATCCAAGTATTTCTGTCAGAGTTGAAAATTCGACGGTGAAATGTCAATTCAAGTACAAGACTGAAGTTTTTGGGTCAAGATATGAGTCAGTTACCGAATGGAAATTCCGAGAGAAGGTATAATAAGCGATAATAATACTAATACTACTAATGATAGCAATAATAACAATAATAATAATCATTCTATCACTACTACTACTATTAGTAATAGTAATAATAACAGTAATAGTAGTAGTGATTATATATAGTGATAAGCGATTTTTGCAATAAAGAAGAAATTTTAGTCGAATTAGGCTGCGAATATTGTGCCATTCATTTGTGTGCTGTATTGTGGACAAGGCAGTAGAATTTTAGTTGTTTATTATTGAAACGAATCTTGAGCCTGTCAAGAAGTATATTGTTGACATCATGATCGTAATGTTTCACTGTCCGATTAGAGGACGGCCAAGCACCAGAAAGACGGTTGACGAATGTACATGGTCGACAATTTTACCCGTTGTAGCCTCTTAATGGAACGAAGTATATTTTTACACTTTTGTGCAACCACCTAACTACTTAGCATCGAAGAAGAAACGAGTAGAGCTGGCGAATTCTGGCCTGGCAAAGCCTTTAAATTCGCATCAGATTTTATCAAAGTTACATATGAGCGTAGTTGTTGTTGCTGTAGTGGAGGCTAGATGCATGGAGAGAGCGATAGTCTGTTTGTTTCTCAAGTCAATTGACAAATTAAGGTGTAAAGATATTGCTACCATTTAAGCTGGTGGTGTGCCGTCCGTGACCATCTAACAAACACACATTTCAACTTTAGAGAGAGGATGTGATTTAACTACACAAAGACACATTTTACACATTTAATCGCACATTTAGCTGTTACTTTACTTTGCAACGCTACATTCACGAAGGAAAGAGAATGATAATGAACTCCACACTTCTAGTGTGGCGCCACAGTTCCGACTTCCATTTTGCCTGGGACTGTATCGAAGTCAATATTTGACTTGGAACCTTTGTAATCCTCGGATTCCGTTTGAGGGGATAGCGAGAAATTACTGTCATCTGCCTCTTTGCCAATCTCAGCCATTTCAAGCGAGCCACACTCTGAGTCTTCCTTATTGTCGGAATTATTGTCATCTTGTTTATCGTTCTTGCCACCACTAGCATCCTCTGGCATCTCCATGGGGCCACATTCAGGGAGCTCCTCAGCCATTTCGAGCGATCCACATTCGGCGTCGTCGTCCGACTGACCATTGTTGTCGTTGCCGCCAGACTGGTTATTGTCTTTGTTGTCGTTGCCGTTGGACTGGTTGTTATCATTATTAGACTGATTATTGTCATTGTTGTTGCCGTTTGACTGGTTGTCGTTGTTACCGCCACCTTTGGGGAGCTCCTCAGCCATTTCGAGTTCCCCACAGTCGGCGTCGTCATCCGACTGATCCTTACCATTATTATCGTCGCCGCTGGACTGATTGTTGTTATTCGACTGGTTATTGTCTTTATTGTCGTTGCCGCCAGACTGATTATTGTCATTGTTGTTGTTACCGTTTGACTGATTGTCGTTGTTGTCACCACTAGTATCCTCGGGCATCTCCATGGGGCCACATTCAGGTAGCTCCTCAGCCATTTCGAGCGATCCACATTCGGCGTCGTCGTCCGACTGATCCTTACCATTATTATCGTCGCCACTGGACTGGTTGTTGTTATTCGACTGGTTATTGTCTTTGTTGTCGTTGCCGCTGGACTGGTTGTTATCGTTATCGGATTTATTGTTGTCACTGTTGCTGTTGTCATCGGACTGATTGCTATCTTTATTCGTCTGATCTTTGTCACTGTCGTCTTTGTTGTTTTTGTCATCCTTGCCATCATCCTTGCCATCATCATTGCCATTGTTGTTGGACTGATTGTTGTTATTGGATTGATCAGCGTTGCCGTTCCACCACTGTTGATTCTGATTGTTGTTAGGCTGGTTATTGTTGTTTGATTGCCCAGTGTTGCCGTTCCACCATTGGTTATTGCCGTTGTTGTTTGGCTGATTGTTATTGTTGGGTTGGTTGGTGTTGGGGTTCCACCACTGTTGATTCTGATTGTTGTTAGGCTGGTTGTTGTTGTTTGATTGCCCGTTGTTGCCGTTCCATTGGTTATTGTTATTATTGTTGTTGTTTGATTGCTCGTTGTTGCCATTCCACTGGTTATTGTTATTGTTGGACTGATTGTTGTTGTCGTTGGACTGCTTGTTTTTTTCATCATTGTTGTCGTCCTTGGACTGCTTGTCTTCTTCATCATTGTTATTGTCCTTGGATTGCTTATCGCCATCGTTGTTATCGCCATTATTCTTGTCATCATCGGACTTATCTTTGTCTTCCTTAGATTGCTTATCGCCATCGTTGTTATCACTGTTATTGTTGTTATCGGTCTGCTCTGGGGTGTCATTGTTGTTGTTATTATCGGTTTGCTCCGGACTGTCGTCAGCCATCGCTAGCTCTGTCACTTGTTGAGTCTGAGTTCGTAGTAAACGCTTTGCTTCATACGATGCAGCTCCATGGTATCCCTCAACACTAATTGCCATTGCTACTGCCACAGCAGACATGATCAAACCTTTTTTGTAGGTGACAATCATTGACTTATCGATGAAGCAAGACAATTGCTAACTCGTGACGCAAATTTCACAGTTAAATTACTAGGACGACGATTCCTAAATAACAGGCGCGAAGAAGCATCAGAGCTGCTGAATTGACTGCCTTTCCCCTATTTACTCACAAGATATTGGTTACGATCATGCGATCCAGAGCACAAGCGGAACTTTGATTGTATGAAGATAAGGAAGAGGCTGGGACTCTCGAATTCACTACGAAATTCCATTTATGGAGTACCGTGACAAAGCAAGTCCTTTACCGCGTTAACATCTGGATCAAGAAACGTTCAATATGTTACAGGGGGTACATTCTATACGCAAAATAACGTAATCAGTCGAGCATCGAATTTCTTGCGCCGTAAAGTTCATGCTTTGCCTATACATGCGGGAAAGAGATGTGCGCTAACTTTACCACCAGTTACTTTACAAACATATTGTCAATGGATCAGCAAGAATCACATTTGTCTCTTCAAGTAGCGATCGACGTCGTACAACGATACTACCACTTTTTGTGTCATCTCGATGCCACAGGATTTTACACATCTTGATGATGTCGACAGGAGGAGTGCATGCGAGAACCACAGAATTTAGAGCTTTCAGACAAGTAAACAAGTCAGTTCTGTGTTGACAGCAGAACTTTCGTGTTGGGGTTACAAACAATGCTAAAGACGAAGCTGCATTATCAAATACCATATGATGCGAAACGTAACGTGTCGCTAAGTCGCGCCATCTGGCAGGAATCTGAGCGTTTCATTGTAATAGAAATACTTGAGTTGACGTGCAATCAGACGTGTAAAAGTGGGCTGGTGGTCCATCCTTTGGATGTAGAAAGAGGCGGCAAAATTCATGCTCTGGATTTTGCAATTTCTCGCCAAAACAGTCCAATCGCTCTTTTCTATATGAAGGAGTAACTTGTTGATCTTAACGAGTAAGACGACCTTGTGTTGCCATCATTTTGACAAATTGAAAGAACGATGTTCGAAATTGTCAAGGAATTATTCATGACAGATAGTACGTGCAAATGGCATGTTGTCTTACGTACGAGAAAAACCGATTTTTTGTGGACATCAAATTCCACAGTGTTTTGTTGGTAAACCGAATAGATCACAACGATCATCAAAAATTTATGAAGGATGTAGTTGAATCATTTAAAAATATTAGCGGCAGCAAAACTGCTGTGACGTAACATCTGTGTCAACTCTTTGAAATCAAAACACATTTAATTATATAAATAATTCTGCTAACTATATTTTCAGAGGCTAAAACAAAAATAATGATGTGAGAGATGCCAAAGTCACTGCTTAGCTTATAAATTATATATCTGACAGCCTGACAGTAATACGCGAAAGCATTGAGTGGATACAAAAGCATCTTAAAACTTCGTGGAGCACTCTGTGAGCTAAGACAGGTTAACGAGTTGTAATACCATCGTAGCTATGGGAAAGTCAAGTAGAAAAGAAGGTACTATAGAAATGATCTTGTATCAGTACGGTCTTAGCTATGGGCCACTAGCCAGGGATAGACTAGACGTAGAAAACGGTACATGCAGTTGGCTTTGGTAAATTTGGAAAACAACATCTGCTAGCTATTAAGCAGAAGCGCTTCGGCGCGGGCTCGAGGCTGTGACAGAGTAAAGTTAGAGCAAAAATTGTCCGAGGTAGTTGGCATCAAAATCTCTGAATTTAAAAAAAGGAAATGAGCCACTGTCGCCGACTTTCCATACATAGATGAGTTTCGCACAGATATCAAAACAGCTGATGTACAGCTCATCAGCGTCGTCGATGAGTATTGATCATCACATGCGAGTAGGTGATATCCCACCTAACGAGAGAGTAATTCAAGCAAAATCCTCTGAGGTGGCTAATGACACCAATAAATCTGTAATATTAGAGAAACACAGACATTGATTGACACATAATTGCCTGAGGCACGGGAAATCGTTAGTTTGAAAAGGTCACAAGCTGTGCTGGGGATACGCGCCCTAACGATGTATCCTCTGATGTTCACAGGATCTGATTTTACAATTGCTACAGCCAGACGTCCGAAATACCAAGACAAAAGTAAATTAGACGATGATCCATGCGAAGTAGCTGCACAAATATAGCGCAATTCGTGCCGGTGGCACGGTCGCTTGTCAACTTCCTTGAAGCTATGCTATACTTGATGATGTTGGGGTCTACCAGACAAGGCGATTCTGTAGGCTACTTAGTACATTTTATTTGTGCCTCTATCCGAACCCTTATCGACCACTGTAACGTCTATTTTTGACTTTTGACTATGCTTTGGAGCTGAACGTGTCATCGAATTGTACATTTCTAGTTTGAATTCAAATAACACTTGGATTATGAGTTCTCGCATATAACAATGGTGGTATACGCATCGACTATTCGATCCGTACGGCGAACGTATTCGATGTTTATGCGGCGTGAGCAGCTTCTAGAAGCGAGAATTTTTCTAGCGCAATATCAGTTTGCCTAATGTGTGCAGGCGCCGATATATCGCTGCCCATTGAATCAAGGTTCACTTGATACACAATGTGTGATTATACTGCATGGAAAGGGCCAAAATCTATTATGATCGAATGATCCTTTTAAGGGAACCTCATCGACAAGAAGAGGTAGGCCTTAGTGAGTACTGAAAATTACAAATGGACAATTTTGACGTGCGCATATGGGAATATGTGTCACAGAATAGCATCCACGCTGTATCCTTAGATGTCGTAAGCCAGCCTTCTCAAACCTGCAGAGTGTTGGCATAGATTAGGACAGATTTTATTTTCGGTCCTAGAGTCCCTTCCAGCAACGTCATGTAGACCAATTTAGCAAAATAACTTGTCTCGTTGCTGTCAGCTACACCCTCATTTTCAAGCAGTTTCGAGATAACTTAATACCACCATGGCTTGCTTTTGGCAATAAAAAACTACAATTTTGAGCAAAAGATGACAAAGTTTTCCTGAGGTGTTTGGAGCCAGATTACCAGATTAATTGTTCAATTGAACACATCGACACCAATAGGATGCCACTGGACTGGATCCTTTTTAATTTCGTGGCAAAAATATCTTTGAAGCAACAGCCTATGTTCATAATGAATCAAACACGGTTCCGAGTCTTAGAGATATTGATCTTTGCAGAAGAGAAATCGGTATTATTGATCATTTACAAGATATAAGCTCAACTAAAGTTTGGAGCGAGATCCGATGATTTAAGTTCGAAGTGATTGAGCAGGCGCGCGCTGCTTTTGCTGAGAGCCAAGACAAAAAAAATTATGCAGATGCTAAAGGCAAAACAAAACAATTATATAACTAATATGGAACTAAAAGCAATTTATTTTTATTTCGCATGAGTTGTGGAAGTTTTTAAGACTTCGGCACCGTCTCTTTACATCTCGAAATTGAATCGTTATGGTCGAACCCGAAAACGATTGTCGGACTTACACTTTTGACCAGGTACATGATAACACATTACGTTTTCAGCGTGAGCTTGTTTATGAATCTGCTTTTGCAAGTCACGCGCAAAGGATGTATTTACGTTTAAACATGCCCCTGTAACTGAGATATCACCAGCTCCGAAGTATTTAGTCTGTTTTGGGCCACATGGGATGCTTCAATACACTCCTGTATATTGATTTATATACTTTATACTGAGTTTGGCTCAGAATCTATTGCGGAACACTGAGAAGTTGTGCATGGGCTGGTTAGAAAATTTCTACATTATTATAAAGGAAAGTAGTATAGCGTGTATACTTTGTTTAGTCCCCAGTATAATTAGATGTAGGTACTGTCTACGAGACTTTTGACTCCTCTCCATCGTGTTAGGAGCGCACGAACCTATTCTCTGTAAGTTTTTTGACGCGGATACCGTATAAAACTTTTTGTGCTTAAACTTGATTTCTCTAGTGTTTAAGGAATGTTTGATAGCTCCATTTTGCTCGAAAGTGGTTATATCCCTACCGAGTATGCCGAGATACAAGCATTTATACATACAAGTGAGCCTTGCTTTGCTCATCGACTTTCACGCGTCAATATAATTTTAGAATTTAGACAGAACGAAAGTTTCATCGCGCATCCGTGGAGGACGATCACCTTACAGATGACCTTACAGTGATACTGTGATGTTCTTCAAGGTTCATGGTACTAATGAATTATTTTACACACTCAAAAGTGTACTTTAAATGAGAAACGACAACGTGGAGTATAGTGTTACAAAGAAAATTGCAAGAAATCCAAATAACAGTGAAATCGCAATATACATATACATACCGGAATATAGGTATTTATGAAGATTCCATTACACACCTGTCAACAAACAATAATAGAGTTACATGTCTAACTCTCACATCTTCTCTGCTGACTGATACATATCAGCAACACACAGACAATTGTTGCGTGACAAAACACTTAGTGGCGTCGACGACGCACTGCACACTTGTCAGCCGGTGGAGTTGCTGGGGTACTTGTATCATCAGTATCCGGAGTATCTGTCTCCGGACTCGGTGTAGCAGGAGGCGTTGCAGTATCCGTGGGTGTAGCAGGTGTTTCAGTGTCAGTGTCAGTGTCAGTGTCAGTAGGCGGTGTGTAGGGCGTATCACTCTGTTTTGGTGTGTCCGCCGCAGGCGTCGATGGTTTCGATCCGCCGGCTCCGCCTCCTTTGATAGGAGCGCAATTGGTGTAAATCTGCCACGGAACTGTGTGCACGGCAATCCAATAACACGATAGCACGGCGGCGCCTTCGCAACTCGCCTTGTCGTATGGAAGTTTAGCCGGGGTTTCTGTGTAATCGACTCCGCAATTCCAGTTTTGAAATACTCGCTTATCATCACACCAAACTTCACATGGGCCCATGTGGGAGTAGCTGAACGCATCCCACTCTACCATTTCAGGAAGCTCTTGCGGTTGACCATCAACTAGAGAGAAGCCGCATTCGTTTGAGGCCCCCTTCTCTAGCTTTTGGGTAGCCCAAGCAAATTCTTTGAGCGTTTTATACTTGCTTGCGTTGAATGCTGTCCAATACGCCTTGACATTTGAAGCCGAGTCTGTGGTATATGACATGCCTTGAGGAATAGGTAGTGCTGCAGCAGCATCAATGGTGCCAGAAGGACTATTTTTGTTGTAGAATCCTTCGGGCCAGGTTGCCAATGGCACTGTCATCTGATTATGCGCTTTCGTGGAAGCAGCAAGCACAGCTATCGTAAGTGCCGAGATCGTGGTGAAGCTAGCAACCATTTCTCGGTTTTTTGTAGCCTTTGGTTTTTGAAGATCGTAAAGCAAGTTTAAGAATGAATAGCACAACAGTGCGCTGATTAATTTTTCAACTTAGCGTCACAGAGCGCGAGTACACTTGGGAAAAAAAGAGCTGGCTTATCCATGACTAAGTATTACTTCCTGCTACAACACGTCTACATGAGTCTTTTTTTTTGTCGCCAAATGAATTTTGGTAAAGCTACGCGTTCTGCACAACCCTTCGGTCCCATCTCAAAAAAACTTGCAACATAATGTCCGCCTACTCTATAGCATTGTAGGATATGTTAATAGTGCTTTTAATGGTGGTGCATCTTACTTAGATTTCGTCAATAGGAAGACATTCTTATCGGTTGCTGCTTGTTTAAAACATTTTATATGAATCCATGGAACTTTTGGAGTGGAAAAGGTGTTTTCAATTCTCGTTGCAATTGAAACGGGTATTTTAGGGGCTGGTTGATAAAATTTTGCAGAGATTCAGATTTAAGAATTGGAGGCATCATACCGCACAATCGGACAATCAAGATAGCGAAGATAAACTTGGACTGGAGCCAGATGATTTTACCTGGCATCGTCAACACATGAAAGTCAGCACACCCCTTTGTAACAGGGTACGCACCGTGTTATAGAGTTCATATCGATTATTTTATTCACCCTATTGTCTTCCCGATTTAAAGCGAAGCTATAAAAAGGGATTTACTTTGATGATGTACTGCAGTGGAGTTGCCGCGCTCCTAACAGAAGAAATTTTAACTCAAAGAGTCCGCGTATACAATACACAGAGGTTAGATCGAATACTCGTTTATTTTCTGCTTTATCAAGCAAAGCAAATGAATACTTTACAAGATTTAGGTAAAACGTGTAAAGATAGAAGTTGTTATTTAAACAAATTGCTCTAAAATTTTTGACAACGATGCTATTTGTATTGCAAGATGCGTGACCCACATTAGCAACTACTCGTACATGCTGTGGACCACGTTTGTATCTTGTCTTTTTGCAAAAGGTAGGAGCTTATCGAGCGCTGTTAACGGTATGTACTGTACTGTTTGTGTGCAAACACCATATTATTGTGCAGATACAATATAACAATTGAAGAACTTATTTCATTAGTCTGTCCGGTACTTCTTATCAAATCAGGTGTGATTTGTATATCGAATTGCCGTTGTCAGGAGGACGATATACATTCGTCTAATATATAAAATTTATGAGATGTAGCGGGGTCTAATGTCTGACGCATTAATTTAAATGCAACACTTAATTTCGACACGAATATTTTTGTAAGAAACCAAAATATCGGTATTTATGGACCCCATCTCGTAGTACACTCCGCACGTCGAATAATGAAGACTCTTGTTTACGAGATTTAAAAGTATATATGGTTTAAGTGTAAATCAAATTGATGATAAACAATAAATTGATCTTGAATTAGCAAAGCAACAAATCCTTAGCTATTACAAAGGCTCTCGTTTCTGCTCCTGGGTGAGGCGCACCAGTCTGACCTCTGTGCGTTGCATAGGCAGAATCATTGAGTCAGAGCTTCCTTTGTGAGGGTGCAAGGCAACCCCGTTGCACTAATAAGTACACAGGATAACTGTCAGCAGCAAGTCAAGCGATAAAGACACTTTTATCATAGAAAAAGCTATATATTTTATCTTAAATATTTAACACTCCTTGAAAGAGCTTAACACAAAGATAACTGGTTTTTATGAGCACTTTCGATCCCGCCCCTGGCTGTCTATCACTTTGACAGAGCAAAGAAAAGAAATATTAGGAGATTTTTAAAGGCTTTCGGCTCTGCTCTTAGTTGTAGCCTATAAACCCATTTTGTTCAGGCGAGCACATTGAGTCAAAGCTTCTTCTGTGCAAAGTGCACGGCAGCCTTGTGACACTTGAAAGCACGTGTAGACGAAAGTTTACATGAAGGGTGTGGTTCACACAAGATGATGTGGTCACACAAAAAATGGGTTACACAATATGTTGTGGACACACAATGGTGTGGCTACACTTAATCAAGAAGTCAGTACGTGGCATTTGACTAGGAATACCATATAGATAGGAAAAGCTATAGTTGTAGATATAGGCGGCTTTGCCGCAAGTCACCAACCTTAACCAAGCTTCCTCTAAGCGAAAGATCTACGGTAGCCCCGCTGAACATCACACGAGCGGGTCGTTAAAAGCTGTATGCGACATGGGAGTAGAACACAAGATGCTTTGTTCCTTGCCAGGTATACTTGTTAGCTATGTCGATTGTTGTCCAGGGTCAGTAAATGGGCGCTATGTAAATGCGCCGGTGAAACTCCTCCGTATACTCTTCAACCGACGTGGATCGGAGTATATGTAGCAACGATATTTATGCTGACCTTCCTACACTTTTAAAGCAGGGACGAAAAAACCATTTTCTAGAGTTGTGAAAAATTAAATTGGCCGTGATCTTGGCAATATCCAGATGGTTTGATAGTTTGTTGCGCATGCATTCATCACAATAGGATGCCGTGCGCGAGAATGGTTGTACCGCCATTAAAGTTATATTACAAACATTGTATGAATCAAAATGAAATATTCCGCGAATATTCACACCGCCAAATCAGGAATATTGGGCACTTTTTAGTTTTGTGCATTCTTCAAAGGAGGTTGGAGCCAATGGATAATTCCTTTGAGTTGCGGCCTCGGGTGGAAGTGCCGAGGTTTTCCCCGATCGATACGACCGTCATCCAAAGAAACACGGTATAGCCGTGTCAGAAGACGCTTACCACACCTAGATCCCCCGCTGTACGAGTTCCGTTCTGTGTTTCCTGTCACAATGGCGTCAAACGCTTTCTTGGAGGCGATTCAGTTGAGATCTATAAATTCAAAGAGCGCCATATGGCTGGTGCAACTTGCACCAAAGACACAACACCTTTTTCGAGGAAGTTGGTGGGGCTGCTTTGCATCTAGATTTCTACTTTTGCACTGCAAGATCAGACGAGGCATCGGAAGTGAATGCCCTACGAACGTATCAAATTCAATATTATCAACCATGCTAAGCGGCATAGTGATATTTTAGCTGCCGAGCAGCTCCGCAATACTCATGAGTCTTCCTGTTAGATCGCTAAACATCTCAATATCCTTACTTTGCGTGCATCTTTTGCTCTTGGGTGAAAAGTTCATAGAGAAGAGCTCCCATGAAATGTTGTTTAAAAATCCTTCGCGAGCATTCAACAAATACCAATAAGCACAGCAACAAGGCCAACTAAAAACAAACCGAGATATGTTCTACCTCGCAAAAGTAGTAGATAAACTTAAAAATGATCAACGTTTCTTAAAAAATACCAGACTCGCAACCAGGGACTGTTGGTCTTACATCTATGTTTCGCGCATTGTAACGCCATTCGTTTCAGAAGCGTCGTGCAAAGCGCTACTTTCAAAAACTGTAGACGGGATGCAGGGGTGGTGAAGTCACAGAATACGATGGCGATATTAGTGCGTATTGTTGCGGGGACTTATTAAAAGCGTGTTGTAATTCTTCTGAGTTTCTAAGCTAAGGTCGACACGCTTAGACTGCGTGGTGCGCTGCCTTGACCTATATCTAAAGACATGCTCTCAGCTGAAGGAAAGTGTGGCTCGAACGCCACGAGCTATAGATTGACTGCAAGTCGAATAATTTGATAACCACGCTCTTTCTCCATGTGGATCTTAAGGAAGTCATAAACGCTTGTGCCAAGGAGCAGATGTGTTGTCAGTGCGGTTTAAGCTACACCCAGCATTATATTATTCGAGCGATCCAGCGTGGATTTTGCTAATTGCCTGCAACAGAGCTTGAAAAGTTGAAGGGGTGGTAACTCGCCGACGCATTATGAAATTAGAAAAGCGATCGTATATTGCGGCTCCTGATATGTACTTTCTTTGAGACAGAAATGAATGACGGTATGTATCGGCTCTCAGAGAATAGGCCGATAAGAATTGCTATAAGCTACTGACTACTGTGCTTTCGCTAGTAAAATCTAAGGGTGATTACAAGTTGCTATTACAAGTACCAGGCCCTGAAGCAAAAAAGGATGACTCATCGTATATAGATATTGATGAGTCAGCATTACCGTGGTCCGCGCAAGCGTTGCGAAGCAATGAAGTATTGATTGTGGCAGAAGCTGTGGTAGTCGTTGGGGCAGCTAGTCATGCGGAATGAGCTCGCCTGGTGAAGCGGGATGAACCGAACATAAATTTAAAGTGCCAAATGCTGGCTCACCTAGATACCATATAAGGCGCTGGTTCGTTCAGACAGCAGGACGGTGACCATGGAAGTCGGAAACCGCTAAGGAGTGTGTAACAATTCAGAATGCCCCCCCACTAGCTCCGGCAGAAGCTTGCATTGAACCGTGGAATTATACACGTGGAATACTTACAGGTAAAACCACCAATATAGTGAGGATGAAAGATCTGAGCTCGAATTCTATTATGGATAAAGCCGTCGTTGAGGGCACCCGCCAAGCCAAACACATATGCTACGGTAGCAGCACCATATCCTCACGAATCCTACATTTCCTTACTATCCTTTACTCAACCAAAGTTACGACATGGTGAGAAAAACACCCAAATGGCTCGTGGTCGTATTTGAGGAATTGCGTCATAAAGTTGACTTGACTCTGGAATTGAACATTGCGTCGCATGGCAATCGCCCTCACCATAAGAGCATTGTGACATGATAGACACTTCCTTTTCTAAAATGCGCGTACCGGGTTCAACAGAACAAACAGTCATTTTTTCATTTGGCACCAATTTGCTACTTATACGCAACGGGATGCAGCCTTTATCTTGGCGCGAACTTTCATTCCTAGAGCAGACAAGTTGTAGAACAACGTGTTTGGTCGCGATTTGTTTAGTGCCCTTGACTTCGATGATAAAGTTAGCTCGGATATACCTCAAGACAAATTTTATACGAATCTTTTTATACAAAGACTGGGCCTCATGTGCCGAGTGTGCGGCACTATGACTGAGAGATCGGATCTTCAAAAGCAACACGCCGACGCCAGAGTCAGGTAGAATACACCATGGGTGAAGGTTTTTTCAAACGCTATTAACATGGCTACACATACAGCTTTAACATAATATTAGACTAAGTTGCGTCTCGCATATTGTGCTTTATATAGTCAGTCAGAAACTTTTGTCACTTTTATAAATTCAAGACACGTCATACGGATTTATAGGCTTATTAAGGTCACGATACGATGTTATGTCATACGTCATCCAGATGCAATGTGCTTTTTTAGGAAGAACGACGAGACGGCCGCTCTCTGTAGTTGGTGTGTCATCTACTCTCTCAACATTCCGATGAGCTGGGGATGCTTCAAGATTGTTTGGTACAGCTACTAAACACAAAGCGCGCAAATCCGAAGGATGACTCATGTTTAAGTCTAGCCACAAAATGTTCGGCTATGTTCAATGAGCAAAAGTTGATGTTAAACGGTCATTGGGCCAGCAAGTTCATTAGGGCTGTCATCAGTGTCTTATGTCATCAGTATCTGATGAAGTAAAGATAAAATGCTTTCTCTGAGACTCATAGGAGGTTTTACTTGTCACATATCGTTGTCGCTTAGGACTTATGTATTCACCGCTCGAGAATAAGTGATAGGGTCTCTCGTCGCAAAGGCGCTTCCCGCAAAAGAGGAAGACCTGGGCTTATCCCAAGCTCGAGCCATGTCCAAAAGCTGTAACAGCTGGATCAAGAAGCTGTCAGATCTGCCAAAAGTTCACCTCGATAATTGATGTTGTTTATTGTACTTTGCAAATTCAAGCAACAAATGACACTTTAGTCTGGTGTCTGCTCCACTTCGATAAGCGGTTTGGCAATATACCTTCTCAATTCAAATCGCGAAATGAGTAATGCGCTATTTGGCACTTTCTACATCGCTTACTACCGGTCCTCAGAGAGAAACCGGATCTTATCATAGGCGCTGTTCTAGGTGCCATATTCCTTGAAAGTGGCTTCTAAAGGATTATTGAGCGCTTTTCTTACTCTCAATTTGAGCGGAAGACCCGCACGTATAGGCGCGTAATAATCCCACCGTGACATGGCGGTCTAATTCTACAAATCTGAGCCGGTAATCGCAATTTTAGTGAGTCGACAAAATAAAATTTGGTGCTTTAGAGAGTGCCCCGATTCGGAGATATGCCTTTGCCGCATGAGAACATGTCGAGACTCGAAAGATCACTTTAATTGTTCTCATCCAAAAAAACTTTGCTGCCTTACTGAATGCACTTATGTCGTGGCCTACACCATCTTCTGAGACTCGTCAAGCCATGAAGTCAAGATTAATAACTATGATGTGGCATGCACTCAATGACTGCTTGCCAAGCTTTACTTGCGCGCAAACTACTACAGAACAAAATGATTGTTACACCAGTAGGATTATTATCTCGGTGGGATAGATTTTTACTATAAGAACAATAGCGTTAATTACCGCTATATAATATAAGGATAGTTGCGAATACAAATTTGGATGATGGAACGTAGGCTGCTAGATGCATTCCACAGGGTTCTACTATTGTAGATGGTAAACGTATATATGTAGTACAGCTAAACTTAATTCTTAATGTATGTCTCTTGGACATTAAAGGGCAAAGCAGTACTGAATTACTAGCCTAGGTGGTGCTTACGAAACTCATCTGTTAGTATGTAGACGGGCAGTCGTGGGGTCAAAACTTCCTTTATGTGGGATGTACGGGAACACTATTGCAGGCAGTCGTAGTGTGTTTTAACTTGAGACTTTGCCGGACAGTACTTTGCGCAAAATAAATAAAAGTTATCTGCTAATCGAAAAATACTCAATTCAATTGAATATTTTCTGCATTTACGGTAGGTCATTTTTGCAAGTTTAGTGATTTATCTGTTGGAATGTTTCAGACTCCCACTTGTCAACAAACAATAATAGAGTTACATGTACAACTCTCACATCGTTCTCTACTGACTAATACATGTCAGCGATACATGGACAATTGCTGAGGGACAGCATACTTAGCGACGACGACGACGCACTGCACACTTGTCAGCCGGTGGAGTTGCTGGCGTACTTGTATCACCGGTATCTGGGGTATATGGCTCCGGACTCGGTGCAGCAGGAGGCGTTGCAGTATCCGTAGGTGTAGCGGATGGTGTTTCAGTTTCAGTTTCAGTCGGTGTGGAGGGCGTATCACTCTGTGTGGGTGTATCTGCCGCAGGTGTCGATGGTTTCGATCCGCCGGCTCCGCCTCCTTTGATCGGAGCACAATTGGTGTATATTTGCCACGGGGTTGTGTGCAAACCGATCCAATATGACGTAAGCACCGATGCGCCTGCACAAGCCGCTTTGTCGTAGGGCAGCTTACCATCTTTAAAATCGATTGCACAATTCCAGTTTTGAAAAACTAGCTTATCGTCGCAATGAACTTCACATGGGCCATAGTGAATGAACCCATCCCACTCCACTTTATCAGGAAGTTCTTGAGGCTCACCATCAACTAGCGAAAAGCCACACTCTTTCGAGGCACCTTTCTCCAGTTTTTGAGTAGCCCAAGCAAGTTCCTTTAACGTCTTGTATTTGCTCGCGTTAAATGCTGTCCAATACGCCTTGGTATTTGAAACCTGGTCTGTGGTGTACGACATGCCTGAAGGGATGGGCAATGCTGCAGCAGCATCAATAGTACCAGACGGGCTATTTTTGTTGTAGAATCCTTCGGGCCAAGTTGCCACTGGTACCGTCATCTGATTATGCGCTTTCGTGGAAGCAGCTAGCACAGCTATCGTTAGTGCTGAGACCTTGGCAAGGCTAGCAACCATATTTCTTTGTGGTCTTCGTTTTCTGGTGGTTGTAAAGCAAATTTCCGAATGAGCAGCACAACTGTGCGCTGGACGATCCTTTGATGTAGAATCGCCTGACTTTGTGGAGCACAAGCACATGCTAGGAAAGAAGAGCAGCACTGTGGTCGGCTTATCCACGACTAAGCATTACTTCCCGCTGCGAAAGGTCCACACAATATTTGTGACACTTTTGTTGAAGGTCCGTCTTTGCAAAAATGTCGTTTAAACCATGATTATACATGAGGTACTTCTCCGTAGTGTTCACTACAGCCTAAAGCAATGAACAAAATTAAAACATTTACTTCGAGGTCGGAATGCACTAAAATGATGTTTCTTTATTGTAGCTTCTAGAAATAGGTGCAACAATGGCTATCTAAAAAAACTCATTTTCAAAATAGTTTTGTGCTGTGCTTTTCTGCAACTCACAAAAAGATGTCTGCTCTTCATACTGCGCTTTTCTGTACCTAAGTCTCACATAAGGATGTAGTCATAAGAGAACAAGTTCTCTATAATGAGTTTGTTGTGAGTATATTCTCCATCTTGATATTATGATACTCTATCGATGTGTTTTTCTATATCCATATGATCGTGTTACAAGATCACAACAATGTGCTTAATTGTCATATTGACAAAAAGTGAGCAATTATCACACTACATAAGTATAACCCTAGAGAATACATACGGGGCAGCTGAAACACAGGTAATAATTTATATAACAATTGTGTGAATATTAGTCTGGATTATCATATGAGTATTCTACGATGTGACAATCCAATTCTCGACATTGTGCGGCTATATTTTACGTATGATATAGATGCGGTCGAAAAAGACTTCTCTTTGTCAGCTTCGAGATAAACAGTCTACGATTGCGCCAAACGAAGCCTGTCATGAGGCATAGAAGCTCTTCTGCGAGTTACGTAGCACTTGAGATTGTCATCCTAGTGGATCCCACTCATTTCCTTTATTTCACAAACCGTCACAGACGCTAAATCGATACTGTGTAGATTACATCTGTTCTCAATACAGCTTTGAAGTAAAAACCGGCGGCAACAGCTATTGCCCGTCATCATACCCAATTTCTTTGACCTCTACCTAGATGTTAAACATCAAACATACCACAGAATCAAAAATCAGTTCTCTAAGAAATTATATAGATGATCAATTTTAATGACAGCTGTCTGACTCAATCTCGTAGTGAATTCCTGATATCTTAAATCCTTTAACAACATGATAATAGAATCGGTAATGTGCTCTATAGAAATGATGGTGATGAGCAATCCAAAGGACGTAAAGCACGTTCGCGCGCAAGATATAAAGCCACGAGCAAACCCAGGAACATTCTTGACTTAAGCATTTCTTGGTCTGAATTCTAAACCAGTTCAGCGTGACGATTGTCAGATTTCAAATGCTCAATGAAATCAAACGAAAAGGCTTGACAAGCATGCTGGTTAACATAGTGATGTCACCCCTCGACATATTGAGAAAGCGGATAGTCTCGTCGAGAAATCACGCACCACCGAGAAACTGGTGCATGTCATACCTAACCAAGTTAGGATCGAGCACGACCCCCTTTCTCCATTTTACGTGGTACTCATAGTTCTGGAATAAGAGCCTTGCAGGAAGTCAGATCTTTGCGATCAGTGGTAGTGGCTACCAGAATTTCTACTTGCAGATCTACCAGGGATTGAGAGCTTAGACCATCATCACTGTTGGTCCAGTGTTCGAGCTCCCAAAAGTGCGGAGTATGATGCCGCTGTATAACTCGAACACGTATAAAAACTGTTTTTGCGAGAAGAGTCTACCTTGATTTAGTGTGAAGTGATAAATTGAGATTGACAAGTTTCGTAGGTGATGAACATAGTCAGATCAACTTGTTTCTATGGAATCGTTAAGCCAATGGTTAATATTAAATGAGGCACTGAAAGACGCAGATCCATGGCTTGCATGATAAATATGCAAACTTTAAATGTACGAGCACAAGTTCTCCTCGGGCCAACTCGTACTTCGAGAAAGAAAAGACTAATGTATTCATTCTATCCCCATATGAGCTTCAGAAAAACTGAAAAGCACCTCCTTAAAAGACCAGCAACTGAGAATAGTTTACTATTCGCGACGCTCTATTCTAGCGCAATTACCCTTGACAAGCCAAACCACTCAGACAAGTTATCAACAAAATAAATTGGCTGCAAAGTAAAGCCTGCTAGCAACGCGACTGTTCATGATGGCAGTGCCATGCTGACTTGGGCTCCGCAAAAATCTTTCAAATGGCTTGAACAATAAAATTGTAACGAGAAAAGAGGACCATCTTGTACTACGCCACGCAATAAAAGATCAAAACTACGAAACAAGCCTGTAAGAAATTGTTCTCATTCCGCAGCAAAAAAAATGTCGTTCCTAGCTGCAGAGTATCAAACAGCAGCCAGCGGTGTCTAGCACCAAAAACAATATTCTCGATGAGCACAAACATAACATCGACAAAGTGAGCAAGTTTCACAAAGCTTTGGTATGCCTTGTAGCAGGCGCACATGGTAATATGCGATCTCATTCGTAAAGCATACGGCTGATCCGCTTAAATTAAGGCAGAAAGAGAACTGATGACGGTAAATGACACCGTGCATGTATAGTTTTGCTAACATTTGACAGGTCATTGATTCATAGACGAAACTTTCGATGACAGCCGTGCTCCACTTCAGAAGAAATTAACATCTAGGGTCAGCATATACAGCGGATATTTAAGCTCACGAAAACCTGGAGCAAAATAAAAAAAAAATCAATTTAATATTTCGTTGTTGTTGCCCGCTCGACGGTAACAATTTGGGATATTTAGGGCATCAACATGAGCTGAACGAAATTGGCATTGAAATCCAATCGTATAACTTAGCCATCGTTTCGTCATAAATTGGTTATCAGCTTACTTTCATCGCCATAGATGAGTGAGTCTATAAAGAGCCCTTTAGACATCACGAACTGCATGATTCTCCCCCATTTTCCAGCGCGATTGCAGATATATCCAATAAAGGTTAGAGGGATGAAAAAAGCAAATGTTAGCGCCTCTTGGAGCGAGCACGGAGGTTTCGGGGGTGATGCCAACATTTAAACATTCTAGCATTGATTTCGGCGCGGCTTCCTCAGTTTATCTGTGAACTACCGCAGAGGCACCAAAAATAATATTTACATGTGTGCGCAGCCTGTTGGCATTTGCAGTCAAAGTTGACGTCCTGCGCTCGATGGAGCGTTTAGACCAGTTGTAATTGGAAACTGATTAGACGCCTCCATAACAAAACAAAATTGAGATTGCCAACTATTGGAACATGGAGCTACATTATACCGAATCAATGGACCATGAGACCAAATGCTTACCAGGATAGCGCAGTCGGCAATATAATCGCTAAACCCACGAAATCACTAGGCGATGCCTGATAATGCTTTTACATGACCAGCTATCGTAGTTTTTTTTACTTGTTGTGGTTAAGTTGGTGATGCGCAGCTCAAATGAACATGCCTCGGTTAACGGAACTATCATCTTCAAACGCACCCAGTTCTTCTGAACGATCACGTGGAGGTCTAAAAGCAGCTGCAAAGCAGGCAGAATGAAAGTAGGTATACCTTTAATAGTCCAGGTTTTGAGTATTTCTCTTCAATGGAATGGGGTAGAAGGTCTTATTAGCCATCCCCAACTTTACTATCGGCCAACGTCTCCGGTTTTGTGACGTTTCGACTGAACTTTGTTTAAGGCGCTTGTATTCACTAGCTGCTGAGAAAGGATTGGTCGAAGGCGAGAGTTTTGGGCCGTTGCATCACGATACCTCATTGTGTAAATTGGCGTAGCTTCGTCGCCCTCTTCCTCTTCCTGAGCTGGAGATCAAGTTTCAGGTCTTTTCGAAAAGGTGAGAAAACAAACGTCATTATAGTAGCTTTCTAAATTATTTATTTCTTATTCGCGGGATTGAGCCTACCCTATCCCCGCTGTTTTTGACCGGAAACTCAATTTTGTGAGATTTTGTCGTGAAAATTTGTCGCTCGACCTATTGTAAGAAACGAAAAAAAAACATTCGCGGAAAATAGTATTCTTGTGAGTACTACAACCAGTGGAGAGCAACTGGCTCTTGAAGGCCAAATGTGAAAAAATTTGTGCAAAGTTACCACGACAAATATAAGATAAATCATAATATATCTGGCATTCCTCACTGGGGATCTATTGTGGTACAAGCTCGTGCGACGGTGGAGCGCCTTGTGCCGTTGGAAACGGAAGTTGTTGTACTCCGTGCTCAGAACCAGTTGTTAGTTGACTTCTGGGTGGCCAAGCGCCTTTGGGCGCCGCCCCGGCGCCAACGCTCCCACGATTACTTGCGCCGGATCCCGGGACGGCTTAAGCAAGCATACATAAAACACCAGGTGGGTGCGCATCCTTCTCGGAAGGTTCAGCGTATACGCAAGGTCTCGCTTGGCCACGACCTTAAAAGGTCCAGTAAACCGTGAACGGAGCTTTGTCTTAGAGACAGAAGAGACTGTATGTGTAGGAATGTTTTTAGCATTGATAAAACAAGTTCTTTGACCTCACTATTCTCCACATTTCTTCTGCTTCTTTCATCTGCATATTCTTTCTGCTTATCTTGGCTTTCAGCCATCGCATCGCGAACGTGTCGTAGAACACTCAGTCTGGTAGACAGAATGTCATCGACTTCATTACGCACAGTGAGGGGGCTGACATCAGCCAGCCGCTTGGCTATTCCTCCCCCATCAAGCCCTGAACCATGGGATGGCGGCATCAGCGGTTCGCGAGGACTAACAAGCCCATTCGCTCTAACAAGGTTGTATTCCAAAACTTTCCAGTAAAGCGTGGGTCTCTCTCTATCAGATACACTTGACTCCGGAATTCCATGTTGTCAATATACACGATCCACAAACAGCGTCACTGTACTAACACCGTTGATGTTGTCCGGCACTGCCGCAAGATGAGCCATCTTGCTCAAACGGTCATCAAAGAACACCACACCCGTGTTGCTCACCGAGTTCTTTGGCAGGCCAAACACAAAGCCATACTCATGAACTGCCAGCACCAGAAGAGTTTCGGTAAACTGGCAAACGGCGCCGCCGTATTCGGAGAGAATTTCACCGTTTGACACGTCTCGCACGTGCGCACATATGCGCTCGTTCATTTGTAAAACTTGGACCACCAGTAGTGGCAGCTCACTCTCATCACGACCGAGATGACCTGTGAGTGAGGTGTCGTGGGCCTCATAGAGAATGTGGTATCTCAAATCCTCATCGTGGGGAACCACAATTCGTAGTGTATCCTTCGAATCGGTGCTATACTACTGCAACCAGAATTCGGCGAATATTGGTGTGGCCGTGCGCTTTCTATTCTGCAAAAATGAGAGCCATCTGGCCATTCTCTGCGAGAGGTGAGGCTGAGTCGCAGTGCGTAGTGGGGCATGATCTGTGTAAATATGAAACGGCTTTGAGCCAGGCAGGTGCTTCCTGAACTTGACAAGTGCATACTTCATCGCAAGTCATTCCTTATCGTGGGCTGGGTGGTTTCTCTCCGCAGCTTACATTTTTGCAAGCGACTTGGCCTCGCCAACAACTTTCACAAGTCCCTTTGATTCTTTGCAACCGGCCAGTCCACAATGGCCTTGACATTAGCGGGGGCCCGCCCGAAGGCCACGCTTTCGAATGAAGCACCATAGAAAGAGGATTTCTTCAGCGCCGAAAATGCACTTATCATCATTAGCATACAGCTTTTTCGTGTGCATGCACTCGAGCAATGCTTTCAAATAAACGATATGCTATTTCTCATCTGTCCTCCTGGACTGTGGACGAAATGTGGTCGAAGTGTGTTTGTGTATACGCCCGTGGGGCCTGAACAACTGCGTCACAAGACGATTTAAATGTGGCTGGTGCATTTAACAGCCCTTGAGGAATCACCAGCAACTTCCATAGCATTACGCTCGGAGTACTCACCACTGTCAGCGATATATCGCTTGCTCTCAAGAGCAATTCATAATACCCATCGACCAAGTCGAGTGCGCTGCACTTTGTACAGTCAATTTTTTTCTTGTGAACATCCATTCTAGGAGTCGGCGTCTGTGCCAAAATTGTGACAGCGTTTGGCTTAATGTAAGCGTGAACGATACGCCACTTGCTGTTCGCTTCCCGCACACAAAACGTGGGTGTCGAATAGGGAAACTTACTCTCACACACCATTCCTGCGTCGTGCTTTGCACAAATTAAAAGCGTCAATGAAGCCACACTGCTCCTTGGGCAGGGGCAGTTGGTGTATTTCGCTGTATTTTGTTCCCGGAACCAGGTCAACGTCATGATTCACACCTCTTTTTGGGGGTAGGTTGAACGTCGGAACGACTTGACATTCCTTAACCAGAGGTAAGAATGGATTCGGGGAATACTTCAGGGTTGAAGATCCATTTTGTGAGTTCAGCACTTTCTTAGTGTCCCCATGATAGCTTCATCCAGAAGCGACGACGAGTTAATCTCTTCGTTCGGTCCTTTATGACCACCTCGAATAAATTGCCTGCTTTCAAGGCAGCGCCAAACTCTTCGAAGAATATCTCGAACAGCTCAAGAAGAGCATCGACTGCGAAATAGCCTCGAGAGCGACCTTGCCGTTCCTCTCCCGTCATACCGTTGACAATGGTAGATAGCTGTGCGCTATTGTCTCCGGTAGACACACCCTAGGTCAGAGTCGATGCCCTAGGTCTTGCTGATATCATACGACTTTGCCGTCTCCTCTCTATAGAGATTTTACGTTTCATCAAAACCAGTGGGAACACGCACTTGGCATCGTCCAGTGTCCTCAAGCTCTGCTCTATCGAAGCTTTGATATTGTTACCAACATCCCAAAGTGCTGTCTTTTCTGCAGTCGTGCTCCAGTGGATAACGTGCCACTCCATGCGTATCAGAAGTGCATTGCCCAGGATGCTCGAATTTCTTCCGACCATGCCACTCTGCGACTGCTGCAGTTCTTGGGCAGCGCTCAGTGGGATACGTGCCACTCCACGTCCAGCCCGCGAGCCATGCTCGGGACGTTTGTCCAATACACCTTCGGTGTTTGACAATTCGGATTCTCCGATCTACAGAACATTGACCGTCCCGGTCTAGTGCCCGCGCTAATTGCACTTCTGCTTCCTAGCAGAGGTGGGTTCATGACTCACCAAAGCTCCACCAGGAGACATGCAAGTAGCGCCCGAGGTTTTCGACCTCCAATCAATACATGGATCATGGTGTTCTAACCATGCCATACCAAGGAGAAGGTCATACCTTGAATCCAAGTCTAAGACTAAGCAGTGTTCCTCGCTATCAAAGTCAAGTAACTTAACACCGAGGTCTACAGGGACCCTCGGCACAGTGTCACATGTCACCGTCGCTAACCGGACAGTGACGGTGTCACTCAACCGCGCTTCCAATGCCTCATCATACAGCTGACTTCATTCGATCGTAGCGTCGAGCATAGTTGTCCAACGCCCCTTAATCGATAAGAATCTTTCGTGATTTCTCAAAGACCTTCACGATCACTTTCATGACTACCAAGTCCGGATTGCACACTCTTTCCGTGTTTAAGAGCTTGAAGCTCTTTGGGGCTGGGCCCTGCTGCGCTCTACCTATTCGAAGCAAAACAGAACACAGTTCTTTCCTATTAGGGCGCTTCGCGTCCTCTGGGGTTTCTCGTTTCCCCGCGACAGACCAGACTGGTAGAAGCGTGACGTCGGTTCGACGAACATTTATGCGTTACGCAGGGGACAACTAGTTCAAATGTGACGGTGTCTCAGCAGATAAAACACCTTTGAGTGGTTACAAGCTGCTCCGCAGCTCGAAGCTATTCCACCTCTTTCTCGGCATAGCTGAGACGCAGTGGCTCAGGCCCGCTCGACCAGCTCTGAGGGTGTACATTCCAACAAAGGCATACCGACTTACAGTTGAACTCGGTATTAAATACCACATTCACCGCTACTTCAAAAAAAGAAGACTGAAACCTTCCACTCTGACCATGCCAGTGCGGAGGCCCTCTATATAGACGGTAACTGCAACCACCTCAAGGAGAAGATCGGCTGCCATTCCGGCAATGGGAGTTATCAACTCTTGGACAAAGTCCATCAACTCCTTCTTGCCCAGTCGGGTAGCATGGAATCGCGATGGAACGCGATTTGCCTGGTTAGGCGGCGGGAACACTCGCAACAGCTGACGCAGCTTTTTTCAAAGGAGAAACGCAGCTTCAAACGAAGCACCGCACGTTAGAGCTTAAAGATAGCTAGCACCACGCGCTGTGCTCGCTCTGCAGCATGTCGAATGCCATAGCCATCTCGACCGCTTTCACCCAGAGCAGGGTATTCTTTCTATCCTCAGCCCGAAGATCTTAACGATCACCTTGAGCGGCCTGGGTCAGGAAGAGTCATCCGTTGTCAGCAGTGGTGTTATAAACACAGTCGACGCTGACAGCTTCTGCTTTAGGTGCTTTAGCAGAGCTGTTGATAATTTAAAATACCACTAGGCGCGTGCTTATCGCCTCGGGTGTATTCGAAACAAGGTGTTTCACGCCCTCATCCCATCAAGGACATCAGCTTATTAAGCCCATCCTGCATGCCCATGGCAAAAAGAAGTAGAGCTTCATTCTCAAAGAGAATCAGTTGAATGTCTCGGGTGTTGATTGACTAGGAGTGCTATTAAGTGCAGCGGGGCTGTCGTAGCTCCTTGCTTAGAGAAAGCTTACTTAGGTCATCGACCTTACGCTCTTTACAAGAACCGGTACGAGTGCAGCGGATCGCAATCGATAACCTTAATAAAAAAAAGAATCCCCTACATTCAGAATTGAGACTGTATTTAGTTGCGGCAAAACCACCAGTAGCTTTTCTAATCAATATTAGAACTTAATTAATTTGGGTTAATACGGTGCTTTACCCACGTATTGACTTCTTGTTACGATGTAGCCACACCACTGTGTAATTACACCAACATGTGTTATCCACACTTATGTACGGTCACACCATCTTGTACGACATAAAAGGATACGTGTAAACCCGATACAATATCAAAGTAGCGGAGAAGTGGAACATATCCTGAAGAAGAATTTCACTCGGGATTGCAGTGTACTACGCACAGATGAAGCCTATTTATTTAGCTATGCGCTTACTAATGCACAGAGGGTTGGCTTACTGAACAGCGAGACAAGAGCCTCTCCAGAAACTATTACATCATTTTGCTTGATATTCAAAGTGTTGTTACGAGCGTGGATCCGCCACACGTTCTGACACAAAAAAGAATGCTTTTCTTGGGGTCTAGCTGGTATAAAACTATGTTGATTAAAGATATATTGCGTCCAACGCTTTATAACATACTGAAGTTTGCATGCAAACCTACTGTGTCACTTTTTAAATATCCGTAGTAAGTGTTGACCTACTATATCACCTCTCATTCGACATCTTTCACCCCTGATATATGACGAATACAAGCTCAGACCTCCGTGCAACAAATTCTGTTTTTCTTGTAAGGATGACCCTGTAATCAGAGCCAAAATAACTGAAGCGTCTGCATTTGTTTCCGACGCAGGCTTCAACATTATTCCATATTCTTTACCAGCAAAATAAGCGAAAGATTATATCGCAGGCTTCCTCAAAAGTCTCGACAAAAGATCATTGACCATAACGATCAGCGTTTGTCCACCTCGACGTGAATCAGGCCCTGCATCCGTATCATTACAAATGCAAGCTCTTAGGCGATTATATTTCGCGATATATTATTATTTTGTTACGCCATTCGATCAACACTAGCAAGTTTCACACGCTTTCGTAAAACAGAACAGTGGAAACAAATCAGTTGCCATCTTCATCGCTGTAGAAGTATTGGAATTCCTTCCTAATTTATAAATACAAGAGTTTTTATGAAAAATGCCACCGGGGGAAAAAGGTTATCGATCGAATATAATCGCTTAAGCTTAGCTTTGCTTTGTAGTAGGGCTATTTGTATCGATATGATTTGAGACTGTTTTGCGTGCGTTAGTCAGACAACCCGCGCCCACGTTCGCTACAATTAGTTGATGCCGTGCGATGGGGTGTGAAAGAGGATGACCAAATGATAATTTATCGCGACTGTCTATCTCACGATCAATCGTATCGATTAAGAAATGCATCCAAATGTGATATTTACTCCGCAGTACGATGCCAGTAACGCAAACCAAATTGAGGTCTCAAGGAATTCGAATGTTGCGGTAATAAACGCGGCTGAGCCGAACTCATAGGTTCTTTTTCGTAATTTAGCTTGTGATCGTACGGTTCTCGTGATCGACAATGCAGACGACCGACTTACGGCATTCATTAGTAGCGTTTGCCAATGGCAGAGGACCTCTACCAATTAGTAGATAGCATCCTCATCTTCACGACTTGTGGAGGCGGTTGCACGCTGAAATATGTGGAGATCACAGCTCGATCAATGCGAAGAATCTTGCTGTCAACTATAACGCTCAAATCGGTAGAGTTTTGGGTGTAATCCCCATTACATTTGATTGTGCTTTTCAAATGATCATACGAACGATGCGTTATGTTTAAGTTTAGTGGCTGGCATGCCTTCGTAATTTCTCTCAGCTTTGCGAGCATTGTTGTTGATTATACTATGCGGTCTCAGCTTTTTCACAAACTTCACGTATTTCTTACCTTGATGCGAGGGAAAAATATTTGACGACGTGTATTGATTAATCTGTAAATACAATCCTGAGCGATGAGCCTTACCATAAACAGAGCCAGACAACATTCACCCTGACCATCACGATGTGCAGTGTAGCATCTGTGTTTTCAGAAAGTCACTCTGCGTCTGATGCAGATCAATTTTTTCTAGCGGTCAACATGCTACTAGCAGCAACGTTGGAGCCCCACGTTTTTGACTTAATGATGAGAACAGGACATGATGATGTAAAGATATGGAGCTCCCACAATTGAATAATATGATGGTAAAACGGCACTGCTCAGAAAATGATCGGTTCAATGCGACATCTATACTTCTTCGAAAGCAGTTATGTGGAATCAAAAAGTATTGGCGCAAGCCGTACATATATCGTCACAATCTTTGTGGAGGATCAGCCGACATTCTGGTAATGTGAGCTCTCAATAAAGTTGAGTTATCTTAAAATTTCCTTTTCCCGTTTAAAATGGCCAATAATGTTGATCTCATGCTGTAGATCGAATTTGGTGGACTCAACTACTCCACATCTACCTCTTGGATTTTACCCATGATAGAACCCCTTCGTTTACTGATATACCGCACGTAACTGTTTGTCTCGTGCGTTCTATATACTTTGCGAATGCTATCACGACGCTCTATTATGTCGTCTAAAGCAGAGCCAAGTCCATTCCTTTTGTAACCTCTTTCATCGGAAGAAGATCATTTTTCTATTTCTGGCTTTAAAAAGTCTGACATTTTACAGAAGCACTACATATCTGAAGCGCTCTCTAAAAGCCTGACTCTGCATGGAATACTTCTGGAGATATATTAATGGCTGTTTGTATAGGTTATAAACGTCTCTGTTCCTTCACAAGTAACTGAAGAAAAAAGTTTTAACGTGTCTAAATTTGCAGTAGTACAAAGGCTGCAATTATATTCTGATTTGTCGTTGGATAGAAGGCTAGTACTATCAACAGCAGCGGAATTGTCGCGCATTTCGCAAATAGAAAACTTTGACTGCGTTATTTGACAGGCCGAAGACACGCACGTAAATCGCCTCTAAGACCATATACGCTACCTAGAATTTGCGCTGACTCCAATATAAATACAGCTTATAAAAATATAGGCTAGCTTAAACGATACAATACACATGTTTGCTATTCCTATTGATGCCATTAAACACATTTAAACGCATTTGATGAGAACCACGCGTCCTCTTGATTGCTTTATTTCAAAATATCATTCCTTTATCTGCACCGAGAAGTCTACTGAAATTTGGTACTGCATCACAGTAGATCCTCTACTCTTCAATTTGTTCAATGGTCAGCAGTGTAATGCGAACTTATGCAATCGTATATAGTACGTACATTGACGCTCAGTTAAGACATTGATGTGGCACGGAGAAGAGAAGAGAAGAGAAGAGAAGAGAAGAGAAGAGAAAAAAAAGAAAAGAAAAGAAAAGGAGAGGGGAGAAGAGGAGAGAAGAGGAGAGAAAAGATGGAAAGTAAGACCTTTAAGACTCGCTGTACAGATCGAGATGATGGTGATATTGAGTTGATTAAGAACATAGCCTTTCAACAGACAAGGTCCGTGTCGAGCGGGAGAATTCTAGTCTTTCTTACTTATCTGCCATGAGTTTTGCACAAAAAAAGCATTACCGAATTGCATTTCACACTTTGTAAGAGCTATCAAAGCGTCGTGTGATATGTGGTATGACGAAACAGGACAATATCATGACGAACTTATCGCTTCGGGTGCAGCGACGATGAGCATAATTTCTGCTAAACGTTGTAATAACCCCATAGGAGAAATGGACGGATGATTCAGGACGGCTGATGGACCCAGATCATCTCTCATACGGTACGATCAGAATCATTTTGGCCGAAGCGATCCCTACGGATAAAACACGCCATGTGCTGTGGCAATACACCCTTGTGTAAGTATCACAATCCAATCCACACCGAAATGTTGGTGGTTTATTGCCATACTAACCCGCGAAGTTCTAAAATAATTCCGACAATACTTTGGTATTTCGTCACTAGTGTAGCAGGCTGATGCATGATTGGTATAAACGTAAGATGGTCTGTCACGTAGAGGATTGCTGGGTTGCTCAATTTCGGTATACCAGAGCTCTGGGTTTACTCCGGGCCTCGGAGACATTAGATGCACTATTTAGAAGGCGAAGGAGATGGTATGACACTTCTGATTCCGTGAGTTGGTGGCAGCCATTTGAGATAAAGGACAATCTGTAGGCTTAGTACAGTGGGGAGGCGTTTTCCATCGCCTAGACTATGAGCTGTTACAATGGCGACGTCGCGCATCGACGAAGTGATTCGTACGGCGTACAAATCAGAGGCAAAGAGGATCAGAGCTTAGATGTCGATGCGCTTAGCGAGTTTTTACCGCTAGTCTTATTCCAAAATCTATTAAATTACAGTGCTGGCTGATCGACGAGCAGGGTGCGGTGGTAATCACGATGAGATCCTCAAGCTTAAGTGTGGTTTGAGATATATGATGCCACTCCAGAAGGTCATCTTGGGAGAGAAAAAGAACCACTTGGCTCAGTGAGCAATATGAAGTATATTCTCATGTACCCACATGTGTAACGTGTTAACGGTAATGCCTTGCCACATGCGCCAGCACCCTAGGCTATTATGCCATATCAGTCGTCCTATATTATTGCGGTGGGACTTATGAAATTTCCATTGCATTACCAACTACAAAACAATCAGCAAGCGACAGGAGAAGTCCCTCCAGAATAAAATTCATGTGTATATTCTACACGCTATGGCTCAACATTGTAAACTATAAAAAACCACCCCCATAAGCCGTAGAATCTTTTTCGAACATTTTGAAACTCGCCAATGTTTGGAAACTGATAGAATTAATAATAACAATACTCTCCACCAACGCTCACCATTTTTACGCTTTTATTCCGTTTTTTGCTAAACACGGACCCTTTTCTTTCTCCATATCACCACAAACAGCTAAAACCTTCTGGCACATGTATTTGGTACCGTAGTTGGTCCAAGAACACCTCAAATTAATTTTCCAGCAGTTTTTTAAACTCCATAAGCAAAGCGTGATTTGGGTTTTCCAAGAGAGCACAACGTGTGCTAATTACACGCAAAATATCCATGAATGTCCCCGCCTGACTCTAAATTCAACCTTTCCACATCTGGGTGAAGTTGCTCGAACATTCATATGATCTTCAATTTACTCGAAGCGGCAAACATTGTTTACTTAACCTGTCTATTGACTCATCTCATGCTGTCCTCGATTTATAGACACTACAACTCTATCAAAAATATTCATAATCTGAACGTAATAATGTACATTCTATAAAACTGGTGTAACGAGTGGTAACTTTTGCTGTAAATCAAACTCTTAACAAACTGCGGCTATGTCTAGAGTTCAGTCATATACTCCTTACAATCTCTTGGATAGTCACGAATCGAGCCAAAAATTTGCAGCACGATATCACACCTCTACTTTGTAAATAACCTTCAGTTCATTGCACTTCTGTAAGTTAAACCATTACATGAGACTTCTAAACATTCGAATTTAATGTATACGCAAAAATATCGATCACCTTGGCGGGATCATGGCCAACGTAGAGCAACTGTTTGCTGAGGATAGCCACCGAATCCATTCTAACCCTTACATATGAACGATCGACAACTTGTTGTGGTGCACTGTTGTCGCTATTTGTAACACATTTAGTCCAATGGAAATATAAGAATGACTAATGATCTCATCCGTGAAGCATCTTAGAACTTTTCTCTTCACCAGCTGGTGTCAAGAGTAGCGACAAAGCGTTTATTCCGAGTTTGTAACTTGACATGCCTTTGCACTGCTCATTCTAAAATTTCTCGTCACTCCGTTACCTCTCGCTCTAGCAATGTGCTCGCGGTCGTTCACTGCTCTGGCTGCGACAGCTCTAATACTTATCGATACTACTGATGCCCATAGTTACATGAGTGATCCGATGCCAACATGGAATGTCAATTTTCCGTCACCCAGCTTTGCCGGGCTCATCGACGGCCAGAAATATCTCCCTGTTCCCGATGGCATGTCGTATGCTACAGATCCGGAATTAATCACGAAAGCATATTGGATAGCATTCGAGGCTAGCAAGTATACTTCATTAAAGGATTTTGCGGATCAGACTATGGAACTGCAAACACTACCTCCTTTTGGAAAGGCATCACCCGAATGTGGTCATTCGATTGTTAACGGTACAGCTCGAGAATTGCCAGATAAAGTGAAATGGCTTGCATTCGGTTTGTCTCACCAAGGACCTTGCGAGATCTGGTGTGACAAAAAGCTTGCCTTTATGGATAAAAATTGTGCACTAAACTACCCTCAGGATCCTGCCTTGCTGCCCTATGATATCAAAATATGTATTGGGGCGAAGATGATGCAGGCATATTGGATAGCACTGCACGGTCTTCCGTGGCAGCTCTACCTAAACTGCGTCCCTCTCAAAAGCGATGGTACTAGTGCTGGTTCCTCAGATTCACCAGCTTACTCTCCAAGTAAGCCGGTCGCTCCATCAACTCCACCAGCCTCTCCGTCGACTCCACCAGCTTCTCCGCCAACTCCGCCAGCTGCTCCACCAGCTCCACCAGCTTCACCTCCAACTCCGCCAACTTCACCTCCAACTCCACCAGCTTCTCCACCGACACCACCATCTCCTCCACCGACACCACCATCTTCTCCTCCGAGTACACCACCCGATGATACGCCGGAAGCTTCGACTGGTTCAAATGATAGCACACCCACAACACCAACAGAGACGCCCGACACGAGTGATACTGAGGATTCAGAGGAAACGGAGTCGGAGGTGACACCCACAATTTCAACTACAATTACAGACCCCCCGACTGCTGAGCATACTAAATGCACTCGCCGCCGCAAATGATCATTAACGCGATAAGTCAAGTGGTATTTTATGCCCTGTGTGTAGTCGTGTTTGCAGCTATTTGATGTGCGCTTTAAATAAGTAACTTGTCATGTATTGTTGGAATATCGCATTTATTGATTGAAAAATTGACACAGAATTTAACTCTTGATATTGTTGCAACATAGCACTAATTTGCCATCACAATTTGTTACAGAGAATAATAAAGAGTAATATGAACACGCACACGATACATTAAAATGAAGTTTTCTACTTGACAGCTACTTTAGCGACGTCGAGCGCATTTCGCATGAGTTGAAGCCTCGTCGCCAACTGTACCGGAATAACTGGGAGTCGGTGTTGTAGATGAAGTAGGTTGAGGGTCAGCACCGGAATTGTCTGCAGAGGAAGGCGGTTCATTACTTCCTGTCGTGGGGGTCTCAGGCGTCGTAGAGTCTGCTGGCGTTGTAGGGGTCTCGGAAGTTGTGGGTGCTGCGGGTGTTGAGGGAGGAGTTGTTGGCGTCGCGGGGCTCGTAGACATCGAAGGGGTCGCAGTAGTTTTAGATGGCGCACCAGAAGAGCCAGATTCTGTGCTTCCTCCTCCACCGTTGATACCAATACAGTTGACTACAGATATACAAATCAGTTCCAGTTCTTGAGATCAACAATATCACAGACCAACTTACTGTAAACCTGCCAGATTGGACCGTGCATAGCGATCCAGTAAAATGTCAAACGTTTGGCACTGGCACACTTGGCTTTGTCGATCGGTATTGGCGATGAGCCCGATGCAGCCTTGTAAGTCACCATACAGTTCGTGTCCTGCTGGACTCGCACATTTTCACACCACGATTCACATACTCCTTCGTGCACAAGGCCCTCACCTTTTGTGATGTCGAATTCTCGACCCCAATAGATCGTATCGTTAAGAGAACCGTAGGTTACCTTTTCCGTGGTCGTGAAACCACAATCGGCGGTGGCTCTTTTTGAAACTAGAACTTGGTTATCCATGATCATTTCTTTGAAGCTCTTGTACTTGGAACTTTTAAACTTTTCTTTAAAAGACTCAACGTTAATTAGCGGATCCGTGCTAAAGGTTCCACCAGGAAACAACTTGTTGGCGTCTATCGAGGATGAGTATGCAGACCTGTCAACGTCTGGGGCGATCATGATGGCCAACGGCTGTGTAAGAAATCCATGGCCGGACACGGTGTCGGACGTTAAGGCAACCGCCACTAACAGCGTAGTGTGAACAACTTGTGACAGCCTCATTAGAACTCGTTAAGATGACAAGTCCTAAATTTGCTAACCTTGGTGAGTGTGCGCCAAGTCACAATTGCACGATTGTTGATTTGTGGGGATGAAGAGGTGCCGGATTTGCGTTCGCCACCCAGAAGTTGTATATGTCCTCATCGTGATGTCTCGTCAAGTTGTTAAGAAAAAGAATAGTTTTGCCTTTACTCGAAACGGTAATCACGATACTACACCTATTGTGAAATTACGTCGTTGATATTCTACTTTATAACTCAAAAGTTTCGGCGTTCAATAATCAGCTATGTTTCGAACGCAGCTCTTTAATATGGTATTTCTTGTGAGCCATCCTTGCCTGCGACTAGCTGACTTCACACTCTCTACTTCATTTTTTGCTTTGCAATTGTATCGTTCAACAGTTGAAGGAGATGGACGCAATCGCAGATAACATGCTCACGAGATAGCGCTCGACTTTTACACACTAGCAATAAGAGTATGCAGCCGCCTTAAAGCTACATCATTTGCTCTACAACACTAGCTGCTGCTTCGTCTGATATACAGTTCATGCCGCAGTAACGTGCAAGAAGTTCGTGCAGAGCGAAATCTTCAATAACAGGTGAGTGAGCAACACTGACGATTAAAAGAGTAGATAATTACCTGCCTGCATTACTTACGACAATGATAAAATGTTGTTTGGTTGTTTTGCAGGTAACATGTAAATTACGATACTTGTAATATTTAACAGTGATATTTGAAACGATTTTATCGCAAGTTTTCAGGTTTATGAGCCAGAGAAAGATGCTATCATCATAAAATTCTCAGAAGTCAGAAGGTGAAGCGGTTGGTTATCCTTTCATAGATTCTTAACGGTTGATTTAGTGGTGGTCATCACATATGATGCACGCGATACATGAGAAGGCATATGTGCCGGTAGAGCGACTGGTGATCTGGGTAGGATTGGGCTTCCAAAAATCCGATTACCACGTCTGCAAGCTACAGCTTTATTGCTTCAGTCATTGACTGGAAAGCTGATTGGATGATTGACCGTTAAAACTCGAATATCTCATTAGGTTGAGTGCAGTCTCTAACAAATCTGTCCAAATGAGTTCCAATTTTTGAGTTATTCGACCAACTGAGCTTGTGAGGCGCAAGATTATTTAGCACCATTAAATACTAGGGTCAAGACTTCACAGAACACGATTGAGAAGCTTGGGCTGACAAGATGCGTGATACAAAGTAATCGTCTTGTTGCAAGAGCGTGGGAGTGATACAACTCGCGCGCTTTGCAGTAACAGTCACTTTCTGGAAAGAAATTCCGAGTCAAAAATCTGAAATACGAACCATCCAACAGATCTCTATCCGTTGACCAAGTCCGATTTTCCTTATGACGTGGTCCAAAAATTGGCTAGAGAGATAACCAAACCTTAATAAATGACAATATAGGGATAGTGGCTTCAGCACCTAACTATAACAGTGTTTTTTCAAGTAGCGAGATAATCGTCATTTAGCTAACATTACAATGGTTATCATTCGGTTATCGAATCCATGTTAGGATTGTTTCCAGCGAAACTAATTGCTGCTAAACATTTAGCCTCAAGCTCAACATTTTGTAAAAATTCTGCCTTTGAAGTTCGCGAAGACCGCAATCAGACAATCGATGGCTTACCCAAAAATTTAAATCATACGGCATAATATGTGTTCACCACGTTTGCCCTTACATCAAATATAAACGCTCTTGAAACGTAGCATATTAGTAGACATTTTCTGCGATTGTTCTGCTCATGCGGCCGACCACCCTGTTCTGCTAAAGAAAACACCGGTGGACTGTAGCGCACTCGGAATTTAAGTCTACCAGTGTCTTTTCGCAAATTCTGTTTGTTGTTGTATCACGCGCTTCCGACTGACACGTCATCGTCTTTATTTAAGTAACAGCCATTTTGAATTTTCTATCAATATGGAAGACTGCAGTATATCTCGAGAAATCATTCACAAATGTGTGGTAAGGAGTGCAATAGACAGATAGAATTACTCGCTCTAAGATGCAGCATGGATAAAGTGACGGATCATTGATGGGTGACACGTATATCTTACAAGTCAGACGCCACATGTGTCGCATTGCTGAAACCTTTGAGAGGCAAGGGATTGAGAATTAAGATGCCGCTGTATCAAATCGCGCGGCTATCGTCTATGATACCCATGTACTCTCCACTGATTCATTCGACATTTATCGTATGGTGATACCTAATGATACGAAGCAGAAGTGCAGATACCGTGTCAAGTCAATGATGCTGACCGCCTCGCAATAGAACATACATACTGCTCCGTGAACGCTACGTAATGGCGATCAGAACTGGTAGGCACGAATGTGTGCAAGTGTAAAACATGTAAACCTTTAAACTCTTTGGCATGTATTGGCTCTCTTGGCTAGCCTGCCGATGCTGGAATAGTACTGGTAGCTCAAAAGTACGGGCTTTATTTTAGGGCTTCCAGAATAGCTTTAGAAATTGTTTTTTCAGATCGTCTGAGCAAGGCGATTTATCTTGCTGCTATCAATCATTTTTATTTCCAAAAAGTACCTCAAGCGTATGTCTTGACCGGCCGATACCAGGCATTAGTCACCAGTATTGTCAATTTGTGCAGGCAGATTGCGCAAGTTGTGATTCTGTACGCCAGTCAATCTGTGAAGTAATCAGATGAGGCTATCCACGGGTGCATTGGATTAATATAAATCCAGTAAGGAATCTAGTAGAATCTTTGTTAGGATATTCTTGTCAGGCTGAGAGGATGAACAGCAGATTACCTTTGATATATACACTTTTCATTTTGCCGTCTAGTACCTACCTCAATCTTTTCAGAGTTCATGACCCGGTCATCTCCGCCTCATTGTTCTCGAACTCCGCCTTCCCCGCCATGGACACGCCTTCATCAAGTCAATTTAACAAGCTCGACGGCGCCAACATTCCCATCTGGAAACTCAAAATGCGAATGGTGCTGGAAGAGAGGGAATTGTGGGATGTTGAAAGTGAGGATTTCAAGTTCGAGCACTACACAAGTTCTTTGGTTCAGTCGACTTAAATGAGGAATACCCAAAAGCTTTGGCGATAATCTGTCTTTTGATGGAGAACTCGCAATGACCACTGATCCGATCAACATGCGGTGCGCATGATGCATGGTCAAGAATGAAGGGACACTTTGCGAAGAGAAGTCTTGCAAACAAACTATTTTTTCGCCGAAATTTATATATTACAACGATGGAAGAAGGTTATGATGTTTCGAATAAGGTCAAAACGCTAACGAAGCAGCTTGTCGCTTTGGTTGCCCTGGTGAGCGAGGTCGACTTTATGATCACGCTTCTTGGGAGTCTTAGTGGCTCGTGCAAGTTTCTCATTGCAGCATTTGAATCACGTGCGTTTACTTTGACATGGAAATTGGTAACATCTCGTCTTCTGCATGAGGCATGAAGCATGAAGCGCCAGGAGCTAGGCGGTGATAGGGCTGCGTCTATTCAAGTCTTTATGATGAAGGATGTAATGCGGCCGGTGAAGAACACTGGTGCGTGCCACAGTTGCAGAAAACTAGGACACTTGATTGCGAATTGCCCCTCGCGAGCCAAATACGAAGCTAAGCAATATCAGTCGCAGCGCGGAAACGTCGCGAATATAGAAGACTCTTGTAACTCTCTCTTTTCAGATGTTTGTTGCAGCGGCTCAACTAAGTCAAAGGATAAATGGTTGGTCGAATCGGGAGTGAAACATTAAATGACAAGATCCAAAAAGTTTATGAGAAACTACAAGGTGTTTTCCCCTGTCGACGTATATCTGGCAAATGATGGCGTGGTACAAGCCATTGGCAGTGGTGATATTGTAAGTCAATGGATACTTTGCATGAAGTGAGAAAGGGTGTGCTTACAAACAAATAACACATCATTAAATTGATTTTCCGCTGGTCGCTTTGCTAAAGACGTCCGACTTAGTGGTTTCTGCAAAGAAGGATGATTCGCTGAGACTACAGTTATCAAGTGAAAGATCGATGCACGAAAAGAAAACGGGGAGTCTCGACTTCATCTACTCTAGTTGCACGAGAAGAAGCGAATGCCGCTAAATCGTTGGCTCGCGATGAGGACATTTCGTACCTACGACACCTTTGACCCAGACATTTTGTTTACAATGTTTCTGTTGGCATAGGTATAGCGCATATAGAAAAAAGGGAGTTGTGAAATGAGTGCTAATTAGGAAAGCAAACTTGCATACTCTGCAATCGACGTCTAAGAATTGGGCAATTGAGCTATTTGCGTTTTTTTACAACGACTTGTGTTGCCCCATGCAAACCTCGATTCATAGGGGCAAGCGCTATATTGCGACTTTCATCGACGACAAGTTCAGATACTGTGCTGCTTAATCAAGAAGGAGCACGACAGAAATGATAGGCAGGTTCATCGATTTTGTTGCACTAGCGAAGAAACAGACCCGTATGCGCGCTAAATCTCTTCGCATGGACAGCGGCGGCGAGTACGCATCCGTGAAAACGACAAAGTTTTGCTTAAAATGAGGAATTGTTCTCAAGTGCACATCGCCTTATACACTATAACTCAAAGGAATTGCGGATCGTAAAACATGTACGCTAGTGGAGTGTGCGCGATGCATGCTAGAAATCATAAAACAGTATTTGGGGAGGTGATTATGACGGCAAGGTTCTTCACAATCGGTGTTCATAACGGGCTACCAAACATAAAAAATTATCTTACGAGCTTTGGACAGCCAAGAAATCGCTGTTATCAGACCCGAAGTATTTGGCTACCACGCCTTCGTGCACGCCCCGAACGAAAACGCTCGAGATTGGATGCAAAATTTGTGCTGGGTCTATTTTCGGTGTACTCCGAGCACCAAAAAAGGTATCATTTCGAGTTTTTTCTGGTTGAGTTATTATGAGTCGTGATGCACAGTTCAAGGATAATACATGTGACGGTGGGGAACACAGTACGAGGACAAGAACAATGCTATTGAGATTCAGCTTCAGTATAACAATGAAAGGCGGGGCCTGGTGCGGGAGAAATGAGGCTGAACACACAAATCCAGGTTAAGACTTCTATATGGGCGGCATGTAACACACTCGTACTCAGTTATTAAAAAAATTAAAGAAACGCCCCAACCCAAGCGTTATGT